ATCCAAGACCGTATAAGCTTCAGTGGTTGAATGACAGTGGAGCCTTGACTGTATCTCAGCAAGTTATGGTTTCTTTATCTATTGGGAAGTATGAAGATGAAGTTCTATGTGATGTTATTCCCATGGGTTCGAGTCATGTGTTGCTAGGCAGACCGTGGCAATCAGATCGTAGAGTCATACACGACGGTTACACCAACAAGCATTCATTTGAGTTCAAAGGTCGCAAGATTACTCTCCTACCTCTCATGCCTACTGAGATTTACCAAGATCAGATTCAGATGAAGCTCAAGGAGAAGGAGAAATTCGCCAACAGCCTCTACATAAACTACAGTGAATTTTCTAAACTCTTTGATCCTGAAATGACTACTTTTATGTTTGTATACAAGGAATCCCTTTTAGTACTAACCCTTCACAGGAACGTCCTAGTGCTATGATTGAGATTTTGCAGGAATATAAGGACGTTTTTCCGGAAGAAATTCCACCAGGGCTACCTCCAATTCGCGGGATAGAGCATCAGATTGACTTGGTACCAGGATCAGCATTACCTAATAGGCCAGCATACCGAACCAATCCTGTAGAGACTAAGGAGCTGCAGAAGCAAGTGGAAGAGCTGATGAGCAAAGGCCATATCCGAGAAAGCTTGAATCCATGTGCGGTTCCAGTTCTGTTAGTGCCAAAGAAAGATGGGTCATGGAGGATGTGTGTAGACTGCCGAGCTATCAACAACATCACTGTGAAGTATAGGCATCCGATTCCAAGGCTAGATGATATGCTGGATGAGCTTTGTGGATCGACAATCTTCTCTAAGATAGACTTGAAGAGTGGGTATCATCAGATCAGAATGAAAGAAGGGGATGAGTGGAAGACGACATTCAAGACAAAGCAAGGACTCTACGAGTGGCTAGTTATGCCGTTTGGCCTCACCAATTCTCCCAGCACCTTCATGAGATTAATGAACCATGCCCTGAGACCATTCATCGGCGTGTTTGTAGTGGTTTATTTCGACGATATCCTCATCTACAGTAAAGGTTTGGAAGAACATCTAGACCACATCAGATCGGTTCTTGATGTTCTGCGCTCTCAATCTCTCTTTGCCAATTTATCTAAATGTTCATTCTGCACTAACGAAATTGTTTTCTTAGGCTTTGTAGTAAGTGCAGGAGGAGTTAAAGTAGATGAAGAGAAGATAAAAGCTATCAAGTAGTGGCCAACCCCTAAGAATATTGGAGAAGTCCGAAGTTTCCATGGTTTAGCAGGATTCTACAGGCGTTTTGTTCGTGATTTCAGCACCATAGCCGCGCCCTTAACAGAAGTAATCAAGAAAGACGTGGGGTTCAAGTGGGGAGAGGCACAAGAACAAGCTTTTACAGCCCTTAAAGAGAAGCTTATCAATTCGCCTTTGCTAGTTTTTCCTGACTTTACTAAGACTTTTGAGATTGAATGCGATGCTTCTGGTGTAGGTATTGGAGCAGTTCTTATGCAGGATAAGAAGCCCATCGCTTATTTCAACGAAAAGTTAGGAGGTTCAACGTTGAATTATCCCACATATGACAAGGAGTTATACGCACTGGTTCGAGCTCTCCAGACGTGGCAGCATTATCTATGGCCTAAGGAGTTCGTCATTCATACCGATCACGAGTCTTTGAAGCACCTCAAGGGTCAGCAGAAGCTTAACAAAAGACATGGGCGATGGATGGAGTTCATTGAGACATTCCCCTACATTGTTAAGTACAAAAAAGGTAAAGATAATGTGGTCGCAGACGCGTTATCCCGGAGGTACACTCTCATTTCTACCTTAACGTCAAAGTTGATTGGATTTGAGCATATTATAGATCTTTATAAATCTGATACTGACTTTTCTGAGAGCTATGCCAAATGTCATAAGTTTGCCTGTGAGAAATTTTATAGACAGGATGGATACTTGTTCTTCAGTAACCGAGTGTGCATACCACGAGGATCCATTCGAGAGCTATTGGTACGAGAAGCTCATGGAGGTGGATTAGCTGGACATTTCGGTGTAACAAAGACACTTCTTGGACTACAAGACCACTTTTACTGGCCAAACATGAAGAAAGACGTTGAGAAAATATGTTCTAGATGTGTCGTATGTAAGATGGCTGAGTAAAGTTCAACCTCACGGTTTGTATACTCCTTTGCCTATTCCTTCTCAACCTTGGACTAATATCTCTATGGATTTTGTAGTTGGCTTACCTCGAACCAGAAATGGTAGAGATTCTATTTTTGTAGTTGTTGACAGGTTTAGCAAGATGGCTCACTTCATCGCTAGCCAAAAGACAGATGATGCCGTGAATGTAGCTAACTTGTTTTTCAGGGAAGTAGTCAGACTGCATGGGATGCCACAGGCTATCGTTTCAGATCGAGACACGAAGTTCTTAGGACATTTTTGGCGAACGCTTTAGGCTAAGCTGGGAACCAAGCTCTCATTTTCAACTACCTGTCATCCTCAGACCGATGGACAGACCTAGGTGGTGAATAGAACATTGTCCACACTTTTAAGGACTTTGGTGAAAAGTAACCTCAAGACATGGGAAGAGTGTCTGCCTCATGTCGAGTTTGCTTACAATCACGCTAAGCATTCCGCTACTCTCTTTTCTCCTTTTGAAATTGTATATGGGTTTAATCCACAATCACCTCTAGACTTGATCCCTTTGCCTTTAAGTGGAAAATGCAGTTTGAATGGCAAGGAGAAAGCTGAACAGGTCCGAAGAATACATGCTAAGGCTAAGGAGAACATCGAGAAGAAGACAAAGCAGTATGAGAAGCATGCCAACAAAGGACGAAAGGAGCTGATTTTTTAAGAAGGAGATCTGGTGTGGATCCATCTGAGGAAGGAGCGATTTCCAGCTGAACGAAAGAACAAGCTAATGCCCAGAGTTGATGGACCATTCGCGGTCATCAAAAGAATCAACAACAACGCCTATCAGATTGATCTTCAAGGTAAGTATGACGTTTTTGATGCTTTCAATGTTTCTGACTTGCTCCCTTATGTTGCAGATTCAGATTTGAGGACAAATCCTTTTCAAGAGGGAGAGGATGATATGATCGTGACAAGCTCAGAGGAGGAGGAGCCGGAGATAGCTGGAAGGATCACTCGTTCCAGAGCTAGGGAGATGGCTAAGGAAGCTCACGCTCTCATTGCCGCAGAGGACAGCGATCAACTGGAGGCTGAAGCTCACATCTTCAACATCTCTATTTTGAAGAATGAAGAACCCAGTAACAATGACTAGGTAACTTAGGTGATGATTCTGTACTCTTTTCCTTGGTGGATTTTGGAAGGAAGGAGGTTCTTCTCCTAGGTTTTTAACGAGGCAGAAATCATTGCTACGTCGAGTTACTTAGAAGTTGTTGCTAATGGGTAATAATGTGCCAAGTCACAATGACTTTTGCACTAGTAGTTTTAGGCGCACCACTTAGGATTTTGGAAGGGACGCCTCGCTGTTTTATTTTTAAATCAAACTTCCTGTTGTTTTATTTCAAACTTCATGTAGTTTTGTATCTTTAGGGCTGCGATTTCTCTAAGTCTATATAACTTAGAAATCGCCTAAGTCATAATCAGTGAAGAATTTTTAGCAAAACCTTATTGTGTTCTTCGCTCTTTTGATTTCCGAGAACAAGACAAACTCTGAAATTCGAATCTCTTAAAAACTAATCTGTTTACAAGAGATTCTTCTATCTCACAAACTTGATATCATTCCCTTGTTTGAGAATCGATCATCACACCATTGTCACAACCCCATCGACTCGATCATCAAGCCATCACCATCATCGATCCGATCATCGTATCACCCATATCATCCCATCGAATTGAACGTCTAGCCACCATCACCACCCCATCGCATCATCGTTGCATCCTGTCCACAATATCGCAGCATCTGTAGCCTTTTTCTTCAGAGTTGATCACCTAGGATCTTATCAAATTTAAAGTGGGAAAAAAAGAAAAAAGAAAATCTAACTCAATCTCTACTACATGAGATTTTCCTTGATGTTGAGTTAACTTTTGAGTTATCAATTTTACAAAGGACATAACTCAAAATTGTAATTCAGCCATGCCACTTTTTAACTCAAACTTAAACCCAAAAAACTAAAACTAATGCATGATTGGTAACATTTTTGATGTATGCTCATAACTTAAACTAATGCAAGTGTAACTCATGTCACCAATCAAAGCCATTTATCCCCTCCCCTAGATATGCTTTGAATTTTTTCATACATGTAGTCAGAGAGATATTCTTTGTTTTATATGGTTGATATTTAGAATTAATATTCAACGACACTTAATGCACCATAATGGCTCCAACAAGTAACATAAAGAATGATGGTATAGCAATGCAAACATATATTGTATAAGATGATTGCACAAACATAAATTTTGGTTGGTAACATTTTAATAGTACAAATAGTGCATATCACATTAATTCTTTTAAAAGCGTGTTATTTTAGAGAATTGTTGAAATAGCTCACTTATTCTCAAAACATGACCGAAACCCGAAAATTCTTATGTCTTAAAGCGTATATAGTAAGTAATATTAAAAAAAGGACCAACAATGAAAGTCCTACTTGAGTCCCGGACCACTGAACCAGTACTCTTTAGTTCAATAGTTCTACTTCTATGCGTGTCAACTTTATTTGTGTCAACTGTATCTGTATGTATGTGTCACCTTTTAAAACCTAAAATAAATCCCACTCAGTTTAGTTTTGTTTCTTGTCAATTATCCTTTAAGATATACCCCAAATTAAAATAGACCCCTCCCCACCATCTCTCTCAATCATGGGGTAATTTCCTAAAGCCAAGCCTCAAGTTTCTGTCTCCACTATTTCCCTTTTCTTTCCTAAAATTTTTTTTTTGATTCAAAAACAAAATATATCCATGATAAACACAAGCACTACGACTACTAGGCGATAACAAATTAACAAAAAGGAATATATATACCCAATTGGCCACTTGCACTTTTTACACAATATATACCCTTCAAGTAACCTCTCTTCTCCTTTGTCAAAAACTCATTACCAAAACTAAGATTACCAAAAAGATAGGCAGGAGATGCTGAAGATGTTGTCTGTAATAAGGAGAAACCTCCAAAACCTTCGAAAAAGCCCGCGTGTGGCCGACGAAAGCTCGTTGCCTTCGACAACCGTTAATGGAGAAGATAGATCAGGAAACGGGAGTAACTCCGTGATGATGAAGTTTCCATTATCGATCATGTCTTGCTTCGCAGTTCCACGTGGAAGCATGACAGATGGTGTGTGGGTGTCGGGAGATTATGGCAGGGTCTCGGAGGTTAACCATCTCATGGTTTGTGATGGCATGAGATACGCTCTCTTAATGTAATTAGCTTATTGACTTTTTGTTTCTATAGATAGCAATGCATCGATCTTACAATACCCATTTGTTTTTGTTACTTCTTTTGTTGATGGAGTTTACTATATTAGGGCATCTTATGAGATTATACAATGGGGTTTTCACCTCTTTTTTTTTTCTTCTTTTGTGTCCATGAGGCTTGTGTTAATCACTTAATCTAGAAGATATCTTAGGAATATTTAACTTTTTTAGTCATCTGCTTTTAATCTTTTTCAAATCTAGTGCTAGTGGTAAGATAACCGTCCACGATCGATCATGTATATTTGCAGATTCTTGAACTTGATAAAAAAAAAGGAGACTTATATCAAATATTGATTGTTGTGTTAGATGATTTATGAGCACATATTATTTATTGGCGAAAAATCAGCCAACAAATGATATAGTGATTAATTTTGCCAAATAAGTTAATGGAATATATTTATCATACAAAATAAACGACAGGATAACAAAAAGAAAAAATATGTTGACTAAGGACTTTTAGTTATGGTTTAGTAATTTTCTGTCAACATGCATTATACGCTTTTGTTCATTTCAAGTAATATAAAATTAAATACAAACCTGGTATGTCTGACTCTTATAACTTAGTCTTATATATTAACTACTCCTTCCGTTTTTTTATACATATCATTTTAGAAAATTCACGCAGATTAAGAAAAGTTTTAAAATATCTATTATAATCTTATTTATTATTCAATTCACCTAATACGAATTATTAAGTTTATTAAAAAGGGATATATAAAGTTATTTTCTACTAGTAACTCTCTAGATTGACGAGAATGTCAATTATTTTGGTACAAAAAAAAACTTAAAACGTCAGCTAATAAAATACAGAGGGAGTAATAATCTAACAGTATTATATGACACAAGGAGATTTACTAATATTAAGGTTAGTACTAAGTGACTTACGTTACAACTAGAAAGTATTGCGGCAGCTTAATTACTATTAGACCTTAATATGATACGAGATAATAGAATTCGTAGAATCTGATTGACCATGGTTTGTCGTCAGGTCATTGTATTTTAAAATAGAGTGTGTCGTGCGTAAATTATAGATGATAACAAAAAGTTGGTATATGATATGATTAGATATCTAATCTAAAAAGAACGAAAAAAAAAATTGAATAACCAATAAGTGATAGTAGGCTAGTATTTCCTACTTGTGAAAGAGGATATGTTGGTCTAGGCTATAGATCAACTTTGTACAAACATGAAATTATCTAACCACTTTCATTTAGTCAGTCGAAATAGTAATATGTTTTAAATTCATTAGAAGACCCATATATGGATTACTCGACGATTACACTGAGATTAGCCAGGTGATAAAAGTCCAGATCACCACATGTTATATAAAAAAACAGTGATTTAAGTAAACTACAAATGGTTGAAGAATAGGTCAAAAGTTTACCTAACGCGGGAAGTACCAGGATGTGGATATACTCATGTCCATGTTTAGTGCGACACAGCATGAACCGACTCTTTTTTAATAATCATTGCCAAATTTAATTGAAAAGAAAACAAATTGTTGTTATATGTTATGTCGACTGAAATTAGGATTCTCAGTGCGGTTCGCTCTATGAATCATCCCATCATTGCTATTCACGTTTGTTAAAAAAAAAATTCTTTTACATGATTGGAGAACTCACAATGTTCTAGAATCTAAATTATGATAAGACATACGCAGACTATATAATAAGATCATGTAACCTCCCATTTCGGGTGGGTTAATAATGGCGAACATAATGATGATGAAGAAAATCACACCGTCATGAATCTGATCAGTTTATTGGGCACGTTATCTTCTATATAAGACTATTGATCAATTAAATGTTTCCTTTTTCTTTTGCGGTCAATGAATGTGTAAGTTTCTTCTTGATCCACTAATATTTTGAAGTGAATGTTCTTCCACAAAATTGTATAGATTATCTTATTCTCGAGTTGGAATCTTTTATGTAACGAGTGGAAAAACTGGAAACTCCTGTTCTTTTTGTTTAACATTGTTGCATGCCAGCGTCATCATAGTCTAATAGTTGAATTCATTTTTAAGTTCATGACAATGAAGAAGATTGTGAATAAGAATATGGTACATTAAAAGTTGCTATTTGGTAAAAAAAAAAATATTTGGAATTTTCATATAAAGTATACAACTGAGTATATACGTATGGGTGAGCAAAAAATTGCTATTTGGCAACTGAGTATAAAGTTGCTATTTCGAATTTTCATACGTATGGGTGAGCCAAAAAATTAGATTTAAGAGGAAGAATGCTAAAACTAAATTAATTTTATACATATATATTTTTTTTGCTTGTATTAAATAATAAAATAGCATCATCTCAACAATATAAAACGATAGAAATTTCACTCTGTCAAGTTTGTCATATTGAAGGAGTCAGTCAAATGTTAGCTAGCTAACTAAATTTCTCTGTTTGAAAACTAACTAAATATTAACCCAATTTTATTTTTATTTTTAAAATTTATTAGTGATCCAGACTTTTCTTTAATATTTTTAAAAACGGAAACGAAATTTAATTCTATATTTTTTTCTGCAAAAAGAGGGATATCAAGCCAATATAGAAAGACGAAAACGAAATTTTTTAAAAGTAAATGCACTAAATGACCATGGTACTGTACCATATTTGCACAAACATCTACGATACTATTGCGATACTGTTAACATTCCAATAATCCGCTTTTCTTAAAATAAATGTCGTACACTATTTAAAAATATTTTAATTAGGGTAATTTATTAGTTAGACAGAACCCAGAAACTTTTTTCCCTTGTTTTCGCCGCTGTTCATCCCCGGACTCGAGTTTCATCCAATTTTACAGTCTCAGGTCGCCGATTGTTGTAAGTAAGTTCTTTGTTACACCGCCTTTCAAATTTGTACATGGATATTTACTTTGATTTTTGACTATGTGTTTTTATCTGAATTGAAATGAAAGGATGCCTAATATTCACTTGCCTGATCGAATTTTTGCTGCCGGCCAAGAGCCAGTCGGGGAGAGGGTGAACTCGTAGCAAAAAGCAAAATCAGTACAGGCTATTATGAATGCTCTGGACGAAGATGAAGCGAAGAGGCTGCATGACTCCCAACTTGGAAGGCTCCTAAAGACGATGGAGAAGCCTTCATTTTCTGGGAGCTTTGGCTATTACATGCTCGCTCGGCTTTTGCGTGTGAAGAAGAAGCATGAGTTATGGTTTTTATTTGCTGGTCGCCCAATAAGATTTTCTCTTCGAGAGTTTGCTCTAGTTACAGAGCTTGAGTGTGAGAAATTTGTTCAGACGAGAAAGATTAAAAATCTTGTGGCCCAGAAACCGTACTGGCCTGAGCTCTTTGGGTTACTCAAGTCATGCACAGTTGACTCCGTCATCCACATGCGCCAGAAAAGAAAAATTTCCGACAAGGAGAAGAGAATCAAATGCGTCTGCCTCGCTGTTACTGCCTCTGTTCTGGTTCCTACCTCACATGTTACAAAGATTGTTCCCGAACATGTCGAGCTCATAAGGGACATAGATGCATTTCTTTCATATCCTTCGGGTAGAGTTGGGTTTGATTTGCTTGTCCCTAGCATCAAATCCAAAGATGAATTGGAACTCTCGCAGAAGACAATCCCCGTAAAAGGATTTTTTTATGCGATCCAGCTTGTAATGATGGCTGCGGTGCCAACGCTTACCGAGGTAGTTCAAGCTCCATCCGGTGAGTCTGATAGTGACTATGAAGATGAATGTGACACTGCCGCTGATGTATCCACCAGACAAGAGGCCAATCTCAGTGGCGATGCCTCTGATATGGCTGAAAGAGCAACATCTTCCGGCGTTGTGAAAATGATGCTTAGCCCCAGCCATGCACGGGAGATCGACGAAGATGAGAAGGTAACTTACCTGACTTGTTGTTAGTGTTTACTTTTATAGTTACCGGTTACATAATCTGAACGTTGACAGGCCAATCCGTAATCTTTGACATATATGTTACTCATTTTAATATCAGTTACATTTTTTTGTTAACATATAACTTTTCCAATTAACAGACATTGATTTATTCCATTATCCCTACTGACGAGGTCTGTGCTATCGAAGGGATGGACTTACGTTGGGCTGACGAAGTTGGTGATGAGTCCGTAGATGTTATGGTCAAGCTTATCAGCGAAGGTTATCGTTTTTCCACTGATATGTTCACGGGTGGTCTTACAACTGCTGACTTGGTTCGTATGCGAACTGATAAGGCTCAGAAAGAGAAAGAAGCTAAAGACAAGAAGAAAAAAGACAAAACAGGCGACTGTTCATCCTTCTTTGCTACGGTTGATCAGGAAGGGATCGCTGAGCTGGTGCTTGATAAATTGAAGCCCGAGTTGCAGTCCTTTAGTAACAGGTTACGGGATCTTGAAGCGTCAATCCTTTTGCAGGATGGGAAGATTGGACAAGCTATTATCGACGCCTTCTAGTCATTTCATCACTCCATTATTCAAAGTATATCCGAATATGTTCGACAGGCACCTAACTCGGCGGAACTTGGTGATCCTCCTACACGACAATGCGTTCCTGAGTCTGATAATCAGCATCAAGCACCTTCAATCCATTCTTCAGGCGTGAAGTCAGGTGTTTACAATGTTCCCAATCCGAAAACCTCTTTTAATTGTGGCTCTCATCCACCGCCCAATCCTCTATTTCAACCAACTGCAACTGTGCCGACACATATGCAAAAGGCTCCCTCCCTTGCCATGAGTAATGAAGATTTCATTCGCAGTTTAACTCAATCTATAAACGCCCAAGTCAGTGGTCATTTTTTACTCCTCTTCTCCTTTACACCCGCAGCTCTATTAATTAAATTTCCCTTTTCCCATTTCAGGCCAAGGACTCTTCACCCTTCAGTTGTGGCTTCCCTGTTAATCATGTGTCACAATCTCACCCGACCCCTCCGGATTCAAACATGGCATCACAAGACTTACCAACCCAGCCGGCTGAGGTTAGTTTTTTGCCATTCAAGTAATAATCTAGTTGTCTACATATACTTTTAATGTAGTTACAATATATATTTCCGAATACAATTAGATATAGAGAACAATTATTATGTGTACATGTTTACAACAAACTATATCACCAAGTCTATTATTGTTTGTATTTGATGACGTCCATTTCTAATGTCCCTCTACCAGATCGATCCCAAACATCCATCTTGCAACGCCATTGGGGGAAGCACGAAAGCGGTATAATCCATTCATTATTAATTGTTTTGTTGTTACATACGAATCACTAATTACCATATATTGAATGTAGATGGATTTACTGTTGTCTGTATCACCATCCTTTTCTCTCGATTTAACACAAGATGAACAATTTGTTGCCCAGAAGTCCGATGACATCAATGACAACGTCTCCGACAATGATGAAGTTCTACCCCGCAAAAGCAAAAGAGTCAAGACCTCATCTGTTGTTTACAAGGATTATCAATGCGGTTTCAACCGTACAGCAGCTGCTAAGTGTGCATTTTCAATGCCATGCGACCCCAACGTCAATGATAGTGCTCGGTTTATGGAGCTGAAAGCCAAGCTTACCCACGACAAGTAATACATTTTTCATTATCTTTATAATAATCGTTTTACCCGTTACATTTATTATTATATGTAAAAGTTCGTGTTAACGGAGTAAACTATGTTTTAGACGCCCAATGGAGATTTACGAGGGTGCATCTGTTGTTACCGAAGATGTCATTGCCATTGGCGATCGAATCCGTGTGCTTCATTCTAAGGTAATACTCTGGCAAAAAAAAGTCCCTCATATTTAAATGCGTCTGTCTTCAGTTTACAACACTTTGTCAACATATACTCGTTTATGATTTTATAGCTTGTCGACGCCTTATTGTTATACGTCTGTCACCTTTCCAGCCCTCCGATGAATCACACAAAGATTAAGTTTTTTGATATGATCTTTCAAGTGCTTATCAAATCTCAATATGCTAAATTTTCCTAGACCGCTGTCAAAGATCGGTCGAAGTTCAAAATCCACGGATCGCTGCTATCGTACTTCGAGTCAGACAACCCGCGGCGCCCTCTTCCGAAGGCAATGTACTTCTCCTTCAACTTTGACAAAAGACATTGGGTTGGCGTATGTGTGAACATTCCTAGAGCTGCTATTGTTGTCCTTGACTGCAACGTATCTTTTCATTCTGACAGTGCTCTCAAGCGTGACTTCAACCCCATCTGCAATATGTTTCCTTTCATTGTCAGAGCCGCAAGCACAAAAGCTTTGCGTGATGAGAAACCATTTTCCCTGGAAAGAGTTACGAGCATTCCACAGAACGAGATCAACTCAGATTCAGCCGTCACCGCTGTTTTGCTTATGCAGGCCCATGCAAGTGCTAGATTGGACGGGTGTCGAACCATTACCCCTGAGGTACTGACGTCGGAGGCCTACAAGTTAGCTGTTATGTTTTACGATGAGTTCGGGCCGAGTCCGTAGCCTTAGATATCAGAACGTTTTATGTTCGATGCTAATGTTTCTTTGTATTGTACACTTACTCATTGGATCTTCCTCTAGTTGGTAATTTTTGTTGACTTTATTTTAGCATGATATCATTAATAAGTAGTTGCTAAAAATATTGTTGGACGGATAATTATCTTTAACGAGTACTAATGTTCCATGTAGATTCCCATATGAACTTGTTGATCGTTCTTTTAAATGACTTTATTCCTTTTTCAAACACTATTTACTGCGTAAAATTGAATTTATCCTTTCTTTGTGGGCTTAGTATATAATTTTCTGTTATAATACGCCATTACTATGTTTATCTGTTAACTTTGTTACTAGTAATGCTCTTGCCGTCTGCTTCTAAATTTATTGGTTAATTCGTACTACCATTCACCTCAATTTAAGCTTACTTTATTTTCTACAAAATCTAGTTCACTCCGAAATAAATTTTTGATATCTAAATGTCGTCTTACCCTATAACACATTTAAGTCTAACTGTCTTTTTATCCTCTACTAGGTTTTCTTCTAACAAATCCACTTCACTAGCTTAAATATTACTGATATCTAACTGTCTTTTTAGCCGTTAACATATTTAATTCATAAACAAACTATTTCACATTGCTTCAAAGTAGATACCATAAGTTTTGAAACAAGCATATTACAAACAGGAGAAAGGACATCTGAAACATTCTGAGACAATATCACACACGATACAGTCTTATCAAGGGACTTACGCTTAATATTACACAACACACAAGATGAAAATTTGGCCGGCCCTTAGTTCGGCTCACTACCAAAATAAAACACGATCGCTTCATAGAGTCCTCCTCCCACTCCCATCTTCTTATATTTCATTTTTACAGGTGGCTCGGTTGTGGTCCCGGCCACCACACTGACCACAGATTGTAAGACGCCTCATAAGTCGCCCCTGCAAACTTAAAGGGTAAATACATTTCGTTATACACTTACTTTTAATGTTAATTATTGTTTTACTGTCTACAAAATATAAGTGCTTGTTAAATTATAACTTATCCTGAATTCACCACGTGAGTACATATGCTGCTTACGTGGGCGTCCAGGAGGGCGTCTGGTGGCGGGTGGCAGTAGTGCAAAGTTCGCAATAAGGTCACCTTCTTCACTGGACGACTGATAATCTGGCACTGAGTACCGCATAAGCCATGTGCCAAAATTTGGTCATTAGCTCCTCCCCTACCAGCTGCTCAACATTAGCATTGGACCTTACGGCATCTGTTAATGCATGCGAACAAGGGATAGATCCACACGGGAAGTGAACCCTGTTTTGTCTATCACTTCGAACTCACTATCGTTGATGCGCTTTACGACATACCCGGTCCCTTTCTCGAAGTTAGAAGCCACGATTGCCTGAACTCTTTTCGTTAGCACACCCACCTCGTTTGTTGCCTTGTTTCGCCATCCATTAAACCAACTCATCAGGGTTGTGCGAATGTATTCCAATAAAGCCAGAATTAGGAACCCCCGAGCTTCAGCCATTGTAGCGTTCAATGACTCAGCTATGTTGCTGGTCATGACATTGTACCTCACTCCTCTAAAATGTGCCCAGGTTCATGGCTCAAATCCTATGGCGGCGAGATACTCTGCACATGAACGATCGATTTCCACTATCTCGTTAAAGTGTGTGTTAAATTCCGAGATGTGATAAGCTCTTGATGCCTTGGATACCAGATATGCTAGGTGTCGTTTTTTGAAGATGGCTTGGACGTTCCTTTGCAAATGCACAACGCATATCCCATGCCTAACTTGCGGGTAAACCTACAGATACACGATATTTATAACCATAGAGGTCTAACTTAACAAGTAGCGAATAACATTAAATTTTCCATTTAGCATCACTTGTTGTTCATACCTTGCTGAAGGCAGCGTATATCGAGTTGTGCCGGTCAGAGACAAATACCACGTCGTTTGCGTCGGGTATTACATTCAGCAGATTCTGGAAAAACCAGGTCCATGATTTGTCATTTTTCCATCCACAATGGCGAATGCCACCGGAAAGATATGAAAATTTCCATCATGCGCGCTCGCAGTTAGCATACAGCCTGCATAATTACCCTTCAGATGAGTCCCGTCCACTACAACCACCTTTCGCATATACCTCCATCCTTGCACACAAGCTCCAAATGCGACGAAAAGGTATTTAAAATGCTGCCCCTGGCCTTCTTGTATGTCGGTCTCTAGATTAAAAATCGTTCCAGGATTTGTTATCACCAGTTGTTGGAGATAAGACGGTAACAACTTGTACGAGCCGCCGTTACTCCCCTTCGCATAATTCATTGCAACATGTCGAGATCACCAAGCCTATATTTAAATAATCAATGACTATCTTCATAATTACCATGTAATAAATTTAATAGGTGATTCAACATATCTTGCCTTCCAGTACGATATAGGCACATCGTGGTCAGCTCTCATCATCTCCTGCACCTCATTTGGTTTTGGTCCAGCCTGCGTCCTGCGTACCTTGCTCGCGTCATGTCTCCTATTACAGTGGATGTTGCATGTCTTTGGAAATTCCCCCTCTCATCAACCGTGCATAAATGATCAGGTTTCACTTTCCTCACTTGGTACCACTCCGACCTACTCATCTTCACCACATAAACCCTCCATGGACAGTTTTTGCCAACACACTCTAACACCATAACAGTTGGTGTAGACTTCTTATGCGTGAACCGAAACTTGTGGTGCAATGCGTACATAGCCATGTGGAGTTTGAAGGCTTCCTTGTTTTTAAACATCATTCCCATGTACACCTCTTCGGTCCTGCTTAAACCGTCCCCTGTTTGTTAACAAAACTCGTTAGCATATGATTTACATATTCTCGCTATTTTCCATTGATGTATATTAAACATCCTTCTTAATTTTCAGCAACTTTTAATTTACATTTAGGTGTAATTTCCTTCAATCTACTACGTTCCGTTATCTGATCTTCCTTAAAATGATCTCGTCCATATTTTTTCCCTATTAACTTGTCTGTTTCACCTTATGCTATAAACGCTATTATTATAAATATCCGGTATCAACTTTTTTACTGACGAAAACATCGCCTATCAACTCTTCCTCTTCGGTGTCTTCAGCTATGGGGTCATTGTTCTCTGACCCTGATGGACAAGCTAACATCAAAGCCAGATGAGACCCACTCTCTAAGCTGTTCTCTTTTGCCTTCCCTTTTCCTTTCTCTTCACTAAACTTCAGAGTGTGTGGCGTCACGTCACCAACTTCTCCTCTTCCAACAACTGCATTGCATAAGTCACCAGTATATGTTATAGATTTAACTAAATTTCCTAGCCTCCATACTCTTATAATCGTACGTACCTTTCACTGGTGTCATTAAGGCTAGATTGGCTAGTGCATCGTCGAAGCTTTCTGGACCCATGTTGGTTGTTTAGTAAGCCTTATGATTTCTTCGTTTTGTTCATCTCCCTTGCCAGGATTGTTGCTGGACCCCGCCGATGACTGGTTGTCACTCAGCTGGACAACTTGGTTCGGTATGGATTGCTGATGGGCCGCCATTAACTGGGCTTCCAGTTCTGCAGACTTCTTTGTAAGAGTCTTAGCTCATCTGGCGTGCATATCTCTTCCAACACACTCTGGCTGCACTGAAACACATCTCTCGAAAAGAACCCTACATACACAATATTAAGTTACCTATTAGGTTATACACTATGTAACATTTGTTATTATCATTTACCAGTGAATCTTACCACGGTAGTTGAAACTCCCGAACTGTATTGGAGACGGTTGCACAGCTACCGGATTAGATGGTCCTCCAACATCGTACGTAGCACGTTTCTGGAACTTGTAACGGTTAACAGCATCAATTCCAACCGTCACACACATCGGTAGCTCGGGAACCTACGAACAGCCATGAAAACCTCCATGTCTGCGTTGTTCAACACATCGATCGGTGGAGTCGGTGGTCCGGTGGGTACCAACATCCAGTCGGGGATTGGTAGCTTAATGCAACCTCTGTGGCGGAGTCAACATTGCATCGTACTCTCACACTGTTCAGAAGCCCGTCGAAGCTCGCGTTCTCAGAGACCATCATGCAGAAGCTTTCTCCTTCACTGTCGACCTTAAAACTCCAAGCACCAACCTCCGATCTTTTCCCACGAACCACAGACAAGCATAACCAAACTTCCAACCATCTAGCAAATAACCCAAAAGAAAAAATTTTACATCTACTCTGCAATTTATAACTTCTCGGTAACTTTACTTCCAAATCTCCATTTATGTAAGCATTTAATGTTGTAAAACGACAGATTTTAGACTTTATTGCTCTGCCAGTAATACTTACTCGGTAACAAAAGGAATATATTGAAGACATTTGAGTTAATTGTCGGCTTACCTTTAACGGAAGTATCTTTCTTGACTTATTCAACTAGAAGACAACTTTAACTTTAGGATATTTCTGTGTTTTTTCTGTGGTGGCTAATAAACTGGGAGTTGGGAACAATACATATTTATATAAAGGGTAAAAAACCCTAATAACATACATATATATACATATATGCCATGACATGCCACATACACATACCAAATCTCTCAGATTCGGCATTAAATGCGTAGCTTCAGGAGAGGAAATTTTTTATGGACAGCAGTAGCCTACTCGCAGACCTATTAACTGCTATCGTCCTCTAAGTTTGTAGATAATATCTACACAATATCTTTCTTATTGAAATATTTTATTGCTGTCTATATTACAGAGATTGTCGCCAAGGGTTTTTTGGTCATCAACCACCATTTCGAAATCCAAATTCTCCCTCGCTATACTGTTTTTCCCATGGACCTAATTTTGACCAAAAAGACGAATTTCTAGCAAATTCATCTATTTTTTAAAAATGAAATTTAATTCTATATTTTTTGCAAAAAGATCAAAAAAAAATATAGAAAAATAGAGATCAAGCTATAACAGTATAATTTTATATTTCTGCCGAGGTCTTAGATCAAATATGTTGGTCAACGTAATATCCTTAGATTGACCATTGTCATTAACCATACTGAGCTTTCCCGTGACTATGCCAATTTGAATTCCCCACTCTTATGTATTTCCCATAGTTATTTCTATTGGTATTGTATGTAGAAGAATTTTTCTATGGAGTGAACCCAAAAGATTCGTGGCTGCGAGAATCAGGCTTGGACATTTCACCTTTTTACTTTGCAAAAAACATTGGTTTCCATTCTCAAAACTGCAGCAATATGATTATGTAACTCCTTTGGTTCTTCCTGTAACATTGAATCAAAGTTAACATCAGAATGGTCAGTACCGCAAGAAACTAATCTCTTATACAACACTGAAATCATTCATCAGTGTCACAAAAGATTTTACTTGGCCCTTCGAATCTTTAAAGAATTTGAAGATAAATAAAAGGTGTGCTCCTTCTACTCTTACAGTAAAGCTTTACAGAGAAGTTCTTGTTTCAACTGCAATGTTGACTTTGTTGATGAAGTCATCAACAAGAATGGTTCCAAGCTCTCCTCCAAACCTCGATCTAACCGTAACAGTCCCGGTCTCGACTTCCTTAGGGCCCACAACCGCCATTAACGGGATTTTCTGTGTCTCTGCGTTCCTTATGAGCTTCGGCAACCTCTCTCCATGGCACAACTCAACTCTCACTCCACAAGCTCTTAGCTTCTTACTCACTTCCTTGCAGAACTCCAACTAAAAATCCCCTCATTAAGTCAAAACTTCAGACTAAAGTATATTCATCAAGACTCAAGAGACAGCAACAACTTAAACCTGATTGTCTGTGACGGGCAAAACCCGGACTTGAACAGGAGAGAGCCATATCGGGAAGTCTCCAGCGTAATGCTCTATAAGAACCCCGAAAAATCTTTCTAATGACCCCAAAACCGCCCTGTGGATCATTATAGGACGTTTTTTATCCGAGTTTGTGTCGACATAAGTAATGTCAAACCTCTGAGGAAGATTAAAGTCGACCTGCGTGACACACAAGAACCTGTTAATAGAGAAGTAGCCTAGGGTTTATAGGAGCAGAGGAAGCTTACTTACCTGTATGGTTGAGCATTGCCATTTTCTTCCCAATGCATCTTCGATCTTAAGATCGATCTTTGGGCCATAAAAGGCACCACCTCCTTCATCAACCTCATAGCTCCATCCTTTATCATCTAAAGCCTCTTTAAGGGCAAACGTTGCCTTTTCCCATATATCATCACTTCCAACTGATTTTTCAGGCCTTGTTGATAAGTTAACCTCATACTTTTCGAACCCAAACCGTGACAATATCTCTTCTGTGAGATCTAGAACACCTCTGATCTCATCTTTGATCTGATCCTCTAAACAAAATATATGTGCATCGTCCTGGCAAAGCAAATGCTAGTTATGTTAAATCCTAGTACTTAGTAGAATTAGGGCTAGGTTAATTATTAGATTAATGACATATGAGGTAACCTGTGTGAATCCTCTGACACGGAAGAGGCCGTGTAAGCTACCAGACAACTCGTATCTGTACACTGTACCGAGTTCTGCAACTCTTATGGGCAAATCTCGATATGATTGACGTTTTCTTTGGTAGAGCAAGATGTGGTATGGGCAATTCATGGGTCGGAGTTGATAAAGCTCGTCCTCAATCTCCATTTGATCATACATATTCTCTCTGTAGAAGTCCAAGTGACCACTGATCTTCCACAGATCAGCTTTTGCGACATGAGGTGTATAGATCAAATCATAACCATGTTCAACGTGCATCCTCTTCCACGATTCTTCGATTATGTTTCTAACAATCGCACCTTTTGGATGCCAAAACACTAATCCTCCCCCAGCTTCATCCTGGATGGAAAACAGATCGAGGTCTTGGCCAATGCGTCTATGGTCTCGCCGTTTAGCTTCTTCTTTAAAATGGAGATAAGCTTTTAGTTGTTCTTCGTTCTCCCAAGCTGTTCCGTAGATCCTCTGAAGCATTTGCCTCTTTTCATCTCCTCTCCAGTATGCACCAGCAACAGATTCTAGTTCAACAGCTTTCTTGTTTATCTTCCCTGTGGTCTCGACATGAGGTCCCGCACAAAGATCCCACCATTCATTACCTAGATGGGCATTCGAACTGGCATAAGATGGAGACAAGCAATTACCAAACTAAAAATATGAACTTAATTAGAGAAACGTTGCAGTCAAGAAGCAAGCACGAAGCTGCAGCGTACCGATATGATAAACAGTGATGGGTTCTTCCTTGATACTATCTAAAATCTCCATCTTATAAGGCTCGTTGATCGCCATGATTCTTTGCCGCGCTTCTTCCCTTGAGACTTCTTCTCGTAAAAGTGGTAAATTCCGACTAATGATACGATCCTAGAGATATGCAACCGAGAAATCAAAGCGAGCCAATGAATACTATTCTAAACCTCTCCATCAGTTGACAATTATAACTCAACATTAAAAACTTCATCTGAAACTAACCATCTCTTTCTTGATTCTTTTGAGGTCTTTATCTGTTAGAGGCTCCATATCGAAATCATAGTAGAAACCGTTATCAATCCAGGGCCCTATTGTCACTTTGGCATTCGGGAAGAGTTTCTGAACTGCCATGGCCATTACATGTGCACACTGAATTCAAATGAAGCACAAATATTCAGTTCAACAAGTAACCCACAAGTAGAAACTGATAATTCAAAGCATAAAAACTCTACATTTATCCCTAAAACCATATACAAAAGTTCAACCATGAGAATGAATCAAAATTCAAACTTTTGCAAAACCCAATTTGGCCAAGCATAAAAGTCAAACAAAAGTTTATCAAATTACACAATTACACAACTCAACAAGTAACCCACAAATAGAATTTGATCCCTAAGCATAAAAACTCAACATTTATTCTACGTACTACGAAATTTTCCAATCATGACTGATTCAGAAATAATAATTCAAACTTTTGCAAAACCCAGTTTGGCTAAAAACATCAAAGTACAACAAAACTGATCAAATCACAGAATTATTCAGCTCAACAAATAGAATTTGACTCCTTTAGCTTTAAAACTCAACATTTATCCTAAAAGAGTATTACCGAATTTTCCAAACATTTCTTATGAAACTGGATCAAAATTCAGACTTTTGCAAAACCCAACTTCGCGCACACCATAAAAGTTAAGAAATTGATCAAATTACGTAATAATCTTAACATAACTAATTGGTGTCGGACTCAAAATTGCAGAACAGAAAACAGAGCAAAATAGCTTACTGTGTGACGAATTTTCAGCAGCTTTTCGGATGAGTCGTTGCTGGGAAGCGAGACCGTCGACGGCTCCGTTTTCTTAGTTCCGACGCGGGAGATAGCCGGCTCGGTGGCGACGGCGAATACGGTGGAGAAACCATGTCGCCTTGGCCAGAATCTAGGCGTCTGAGACGGAACGTAAACAAAGCGTCTCAGAGAAGAAGTGAAGGAAGAGGGCTTGGAGAGGAAGGAAGAAGAAAATAGAAGAGAACGAGAAGAGGCCATTAGTGCGAACAGCCCCGCAGAGATTTTGAGATTATGGGAAGAAATCTGTGGTGTAAGCTTCTCTGGTAAATGGATTGAATTGGAGGAGAAGACAAGACTACAATTTGGTTTTGTTTACTTCCTTGTGTTTAATTTCGGTTCGGTTCTATGGTTTTTGGTTCCATTTGCAAATTCAGTTTGATTTCGGTTTGGAAATGAAATTTCGATTTAGTTTGGTTTCGTATCTTTGTTTACAAGTATTTTTATCACAGTAACTGCTCTCCATATTTCTCATTTCTTTTCAACAACCTAAAAAAGAAGATCAGATTTATCTGCGGTTCTTGTTTTCAGTTGTTTGAGCTTCTTTAAATATACTCCTGAGGGTCCATCGTATATATTATTGTGAAATCATCATTTGTTTAGGCTCAGCCTCAATTCATGATCTCTAACAATAATAAGCACTGAACAAAAGCTTTATGCCATAGCTTCTCTTCTTAGCAGGAGCAGCGAATCTAATGGACTGTCCGATGAATAGGTGTGAATGGTGACATCCTCTAACAACTTCAAGAGCTCTGCTCGGTGGAGAGTTGTCACCGTGTACTCCAGTGTAACCTGCCCGGTTTGGAAGACTTAAGAAACTTGGTAAGAAGACTCCTCAAAACCCTACAACAACAACAAGTGTGTTTGGCCATTTTTCTTTGTAAATTCAGGTATGAAGTACACACATTTTGAGACAACAGAGTAAGTTAATTTGTACCCGTTTGCGGAATAAGCTGAGAGAAACTGTGTTTGATTCCCCAATCTTGGCTGTAAAACGTGTGAATCTCCAAGTTCGTGACAGCATAAGCCATCATCATCAAGACCGATTCCTTTCCTAATCCTTTAGCACGGCTACTCTATACCAAGGGTTGTAACGAAAAAGAAAGAATCATGTACACGGAAATCACATCAGCTAGAGTGTATAACACCAAATAGGGGTCCATAAGTAAACATGTTACTGTGAGCATGCGTGACATGTGATAGACGAAGAAAATTACCTTCTAGGCTCAGCTATCATTATTTCAACCTCTACAACCTTAGGATCATCTACATCGTTCATGTAAATGTTCACATCACCCGTCATGGCTGCGCAAAAGCTTCGGTTACTTGTTTACCATGACTCAACGTGAAAAAAATATCCACGAAAAAAAAAACCAAAGGAACATCCTAGTTCATCTTAATAGACTTCTTTTGAACAAACAAAAACAAAGATCATAAAGCTAGCCAGTCACCAATGATCTAAACCACTAACAAAGGATACGTTCTCATTTCCACGTACTAAACACACTTTGTTGCAAGAAACAGTTCCACTACATTTACTAAAGTTAGAGAGTGTTTATATTAGTAATTAAAACTAAGCCACTTTGTCACAGTAGTTTTATAGAAGATGCCAAATTGATGCATGCTTAAAGTAATCTCTTTTATGGCTTTATTCATCAGTTCCTCAAGGTGAAGTAAGACAAGAAACAAACCTTCTACCCGAGATTCACCATGAGCCAATTCTCCCTCTATGAAATCCTTGTCCAACACAATGAATGTCCGCTCTGAAATCATAACAAACCAACAACAGAATAAGCATGAAGAATCCGGTTTACGAAGAAGATAACGTCATGGATCTTCTCTACACATTTTTACTTGATTATGAGTCCCTCAATTGCTAATCAATGAACCTCATACCAAGCTATATGACTAATATCACAACACAAAACAAGTCAACCTGTTTGTTGTTTCTCATGATGAAACTATTCTGTTTGACTAACTCCCAAGTAACCATCATAGCCATTATCTTTCATCATCTTCCTAACTCTGACGACGTCGTCCCACATTTCCTCTGTTGCATATAGGTTTGACATCAATACATATAGCCCTCCATTTCTGTAATCCAACATAAACATTTTCTTAGCTACATATTCCCCAAGCTCGATCTCTCTGTTCACAGTGCATGCACTAAGCAGAGCACCCCATACTGCAGAATCCGGCTTTATATCCATCTTCCAAATCAACGTCAATGCCTCGGTATACAAACATGCTCGACCCAACAAACCAACCATAAGTGCATAATGCTGTAAACTTGGCGATATGCCAAACACCTTGACCATTTCTCTGAAACATATGTTTCCTTCATCGACAAGGCCTCCATGTGCACATGCAGACAGAACCCCCAAAAAGGTGATCTTGTCAGGTTTCGATCCCTGCTTTCGCATTTCCAAGTAACAAGAAAGTGCGCGACTTTGTAACCCCGATAAGCTGAATCCTGATATCATTGAGTTCCATGTTGCTGTGCACGGAGCTTTTATGGTCTTGAACACATCTTCTGCTAGTTCTGAATTTCCACATTTAGCATACATGTCTATAAGAGCTGTACAAACAAAGTTCTCATTTTCAAAATTGTTCCTAAGAATATAACCGTGAAGTTTCCTCCCCAAATTTAAGCAACATAGCTGAGAGCAGCCAGCAAGCAAACTTGCTATTGTAATTGCATCCGGCTCAGGTCCACTAATCAACTTCATCTGACGGAAGACCTCAAAGGCTACGCTTGCCTTTCCCGACTGTACACATCCCGATATCACTGAGTTCCAGCTAATTAGAGGAGTCTCCTGCAGCTGCTCAAATAAAAACAAGACAGTCTCCACATCATCAAACTTAGAGTACATGGTCATCAGTCCATTCGCAACCAGCGTTTGTGTGCACAATCCGCTTTTGATCGCATAAGCATGAAACGACATTCCAATGTCGATGTGGGAAGAGTTTGTGCATCCATGGAGAATTTCTACCAAAGCTACAGCATCAACTCTCATACAAAGCTGGCGCATTTTAGAGAAATACGCAACCACGACGTCAATATCTCCTTTCTCTGCGTAACTTGAAACGATCGAAGTTAGGCCAACGATACTATCTTGAGCACCAGACGCATAAAGACGTTCTGCTGAATCCAAATACCCACACCTCGAATACGCACAGATCAAAGAAGTAATCACAGAGTTATCGTTCACCATTCCAGTTTTAACAACAAGACAATGCAATGACTCGTGACTAACACGACCAGAGAGAAGATTGATGACAGTGACCGGACTTATCTCCACGCGCTTCTCAAACATATCCCTGAAAACAGCAAAGGCCTCTTCCTGGAGAGCACTCTGGCTATAAGCACCAATCATTGTATTCCAAGAAACAGTGCTTCTGTCTTCCATTTCTGTGAATAAGACTTCTGCTGAATCCAACTCTGCACACTTTGAATAAAACGAAATCAACGCGTTCTTCACATGAGAATCCAGTTCCAGGCCAGACTTTGTAGCAATACCATGAACGGACTTCCCATGAGAAACGAATCCACATTGTCCACAAAAAGGCAGCAAATTTACAAGCGTGGTTGCAGACGGAGAAAACCCTTGTTGAACCATTACGATAAAGAGCTTCCACGCGTCAAATTCGTAGCCATTCCGTGAATACCCACAGATCAACGCGTTCCAAGCAACGGTATCTCTCTCAGGCATTTCATCAAACAACTTTCGTGCAGTTTTTACAAAACCCATCTTCAAGTATATATCGAGAAGAGATGTTTTCACGTAAATGAACCGATCAATACCTGATTTTGTGATATGGGTTTGGACTAGCTTCAACGAATCGACAGAGGCGGTAGAGGCTTGGAGAAGGATAGACATTGTGAAATGATTTGGTGTGAGAGAGGAACGAAGTAAGTCACGGAAGATTGTGATTGGAGAAGAAGAGTTGTCACCATGAACACAAGATTTCAGTAGAGAGTGGAAGAAAGAAAAGTCTTTAGTGACGAGACTTATGGGTTTGTTAAGTCGCATACTTCACAGAGATCATGGAAGGAAGAATCTGTGGTGAATTTGAATTTGAAGTGGAGGAGAACATAAGTCAACGTTTTGGTTTTAATCGGTTTACGGTTTACAGTTTAATTTGGTTTGGTTTTTGGTTTTTGATTTTTGATTTTTGATTTTTGATTTTTTAGCTTTGACATGAAACCATAAACTAACATTTGTAATTTGGGTTGATTTTGGTTCAGTGAACTTCAATTTCGTTTGCATTACATTTTATACAATAAAAATTTAGCGATGTTTAGATTACACTTATTTCTATGATTATGTTTGCACAAATTTTTAATAATTTTTGGTTTAATCGAATTCAAGTTTAATTTAGATTCACTAAAATCGAAAATCGGTTTCGTTTGAGGTTCAGTTTGGGTTTTCCAAATTTCTGTTTTCCCAATCTACAAAACCAAAAGGTGGTTTCCTTTTCTTTGCAGCGTGCTGAAAACCAAAAAGATGGTAGATTTGATTCGATTTAATTCAGATTCACTAAAATCGGTTTCGCTTCAGGTTCAGTTTTGGTTTTCCGATTTTCCAATCTAACAAAACCAAAAAAAAAATGATTTTCTCTTGTTTGCACTTAGCAGTGTGCTGAATAATATCATTTACTCTTGTTTGCACTTAGCAGTGTGCTGAATAATATCATTTACTATGGTCCATTGAAACTTGGAAGCTCCATAAATTATTGTGCTACCATCATTAGTTTAGGCTCAGCCTCAATTCATGATCTCTAACAATAATAAGCATTGAACAAAAGCTTTATGCAATACAAGTTTCTCCTGTTAGCAGTGAATCCGATGGATTGTCCGATGAATAAGTGTGCGTGATGACATCCTCTAATAACTTCAAGAGCTCTGCTCGACGGAGATTTGTCACCATATACTCCAGTGTAACCTGCCCGGTTAAAAGATTTAAGAAACTCTGTCTGTTTTTAAACATGAGCAGGAGAGAAAAGGAACATCCTTGTTACCTCTTTGAAGATACCACTGTAAGAAGAATCCTCAAAACCCTACAACAATTAGCCATTTTTTCTTTGTAAATTCAGGTACGAAGTTACATTTTTTAGACAACAAAGTAAGTTGTTTATACCAGTTTGCGGAATAAGCTGAGGGAAGCTGTGTTTGAGTCCCCAATCTTGGCTGTGAACTTGTGAATCTCCAAGTTTTTGATAGCGTAAGCCATCATCATCAAGACAGATTCTTTTCCTATTCCTTTACCACGGCTACTCTACACCAAGGGTTGTAACCAAAACAAGAATCATGTGCACAGAAATAAGAATCATCTCAACACACTGCTGCAGGAAGTTAAAATGTTTCGGAAAGGGCACGCATGTGATGTGTGATAGAAGAAGAAATGTTACCTTTTGGACTCAGCTATCATTATTTCAACCTCTGCAACCTTAGGATCATCCACATCGTTCATGTAAATGTTCACATCACCCGCCATGGCTGCACAAAAGCTTCGATTACTTATTTGCAATGGCTAGATTTCTTTTTTACACAAAAAGAAGCCATTCACCAATGAATCAAAACCACTAACAAAGAAGAAGTCTTGTAGATTATGTTCTCATTTATAGTCACTATACACACTTTGTTCTAAGAAACGATTCCACTACATTAACTAAGCCACTTTGTCACAGTAGCTATATAGAATATGCAAAACTGATGCATTCTAAAGTAATCTCCTTAATCATAAGTTCTTCAAGTGAAGTAACTCAGGAAACGAACCTTCGACATGAGGTTCGCCATAAGCCAATTCTCCGTTTATTAAGTCCTTATCCAACACAATGAAAGTCCGCTCTGGAACACAAGCATTAAGAATCTTATGTTCGAAAAGAAGACGGATATAATTAAGAATAATTAGGTCATGGATCTTCTCCACTCAATGTTAGTTGATTATGAGTCCATTAATGAACATAAGAAGCTAATTAGGTAATATTACAACACACTTGGAGAATTGGTGAGATCAAATTTACATCCAAATATCAACAAACTCAAAATTGAAAATGATAAGTATAATAGTCTAGTGATCAAAACCCAGATTAAAAAAGTCAACTTTGAGATTCAGGTTTAGTCTAAAGTCTAAACGAAAAACCCAAAACCCTAATTGAGAAAAAACGCCGTAAATTGATAAAATCCACATTTCAGAAGATGGGATAAGTAAGAAGTATAAAAGGGTTTAAGGCTCGTTATACTATTGGGATCTTGAGTCCAAGAGATTTGCATCTCATACTCCTGCTCGAGACTCAAAGGCTCAGATCCTGTGGCTTGAAGAAGCGCCGAATCCTGCATCCAGCGATGATACTTTGGGACATGGGCCGCCATGTACGGAACCAACACCACTATCTTCCCCTCCAAGCTCACCTTCATCGCCATTGTTGTCACCATCTTTTTTCTTCTTCTCTTTTTCTTTACACAGAGAATAACTTTCACAAACCCAAAACGCTGTCGTTTCATGTCATCATTTATCCACGTCAGATTTTATTAATTTATTCGCATGAGAAGCATAATTATGTCCAAAAAATTACACAACCAACCAACTGTGTCGTGGTGAGTGATCACTTAGCTTCAAAGCAAAGGCTTCAATGGAAAAATAAAAAAAAATCATAATTTTCTCTCCAAAAGATAAATAAAAGATGTCACTGATTCTTCTGGTAGCAATCATAACCAAAATGTTCACTTACATTACATATATATAAATCCGTTTCCATCAACAGAAAAAACAGAGATGCTCGGGAAATGGCGACGACTTTAACGTTGACTCTAACATTCTTCTTGCTACTTCTAGCAACAAAACTTCCGGCTTCACTCGCCGGAAAGTGCACCACCACGACGGCGACTAAAAACTTCGAGAAATGCATCTCTCTATCGACACAACAAGCTTCAATCGCGTGGACATACCATCCACACAACGCAACTCTCGACCTCTGTTTCTTCGGAACATTCATCTCTCCTTCCGGGTGGGTCGGGTGGGGGATTAACCCGGATACACCGTCGCAGATGACCGGCTCTCGAGTCCTCATCGCATTTCCGGATCCCAATTCTGGCCAGCTCATCCTCCTCCCTTACGTTCTTGATTCCTCCGTTAAGCTCCAAAAAGCTCCTCTGCTTTCTCGTCCTCTTGACATCCTCCGTCTCTCCTCCTCCTCCGCTTCTCTCTACGGCGGTAACATGGCCACCATCCGTAACGGCGCCTCCGTTCAGATTTATGCCTCCGTGAAGCTCTCGTCGAATAATACCAAGATCCACCATGTTTGGAACAGAGGTCTTTACGTCCAAGGCTACTCTCCCACCATTCATCCAACTACGTCCACTGATCTCTCCTCCTTCTCCACCTTCGATGTAGCTTCAGGTATCAACAAAAGTGGATTGGTCCGTGTCCTTTATAAATTATTTCAGTCCGTATCCCTTATATATATTTGTTTGTTTGTTTTCTATAGGATTTGCAACGGTTCATCGAAACAGTGGTTCGAGAGCTCTGAAAGTGACCCACGGAGTAATCAACGCGGTGGCGTGGGGATTTCTCCTCCCGGCCGGAGCGGTAACAGCTCGATACCTACGCCAAATGCAATCAGTCGGACCAACTTGGTTCTACATCCACGCAGCTATACAGCTAACTGGTTTCCTCCTCGGAACCATTGGGTTCGCACTCGGAATCGTGCTAGGCCGAGGTTCCCCTGGAGTGACCTACGGGTTACATAGGAGCCTTGGGATAGCAACTTTCACTGCGGCTGGGCTGCAAACGCTGGCTTTGCTTTTCAGACCAAAGACGACCAACAAATTCAGGAGGTATTGGAAGTCTTACCATCATTTTGTTGGGTATGGTTGTGTGGTGATGGGCGTGGTGAATGTGTTCCAAGGGTTCGAGGTTTTGAGGGAAGGAAGGTCGTATGCAAAACTGGGATATTGTTTGTGTCTGTCGACGCTTTTTGGGGTCTGTGTAGCCATGGAAGTTAACTCGTGGGTTGTGTTTTGTCGCAAGGCTAAAGAAGAGAAGATGAAGAGAGATGGTTTGACCGGTGACGATAGATGCGGTGGGATTCATTCATAGTTAGGTCTTTGGTCCTAATTATAAAAGAGAGTGTGTGTGTGTGTGAGAAAGAGAGAGGGACAAGACAACATTTTGTATATCTTTGCTTAGTAACTCATCTTGGTAATATACATTGTTGAGGTGTTTCCATCATTGTTCATAAAAGATCCAGATCTTGATCATATCAGTTTTGAGTTTTAACATAAATGCATAGTTGCTTAACTGAAACTCATCACCTTCAAAATATGATCAAATCTTGTCATCAGACTTCATTCGTTTCTTGCTCTCTTCTTTGTCTATGCACTGGTCATCTTCGTTTACTTCTCCATTGATTTCCACCTCTGAAGCTTTTGTCTTGTGCGTGAAAGAACTTGGAAGAGTTGGAGTTACCCGCATTCTTTTTTTGGTATTGACGGTATGCACCCCACGTTCTTTTATTACCCATTCTGATTCCAAATTCAAAGAGAAGCTCACTGGAAGTAACATCTGCTTCAAATTCAAAGATGTACATATGCTCTGTTAAAGGGGAGGTAGAATGTGGTTACTTGGACTACACGAGACATCGAGGTTACTCTGTTTGTCCATGATGTAACAATCTACAAACACCATGTCCGCATCACCAGGTTCGACGTCATTCTTATTAGCCAGTAAGAAGCAAGCTTTAAATGTAATAGATGAAGGGAAAGGGCTCTCATTCAACTTCACACTCAAGGAATCTCCATTAACTCGATAAGTGAACTAGGTGGGTATTTTTCCACCGGGTAAGACCGTAACTTCACAAGTTGATGTCTGGATGATTACATTTCTCTATTCAGTTTGAAGCAGTTACGGAAGTTGAGAATAATCTTTGGATTAGGAAAGGAGCAATCTAATCTCTCTAGAGACTCACAATTTTCTGCGTCTAACTCTGATAAAGAATCCGGAAGCTCAGGGAGCGACAAGAGCTCGTTGCATCCCTTGAGAACAAGTCGACGAAGATGAGAGATTCTCTTGATCCATGGAAAGACTTCTTGTATTTTCGTATCATTCAAGTGAAGCTCTGTGATGCTATCAAGAGCATGCGGGAATTTCTTGAGGTTTTCACTGTATGACATATATAAAGTCTCAAGACGAGACCATGAGCTGATTGACAGAGGCACTTCTTCTATTGCGGTTCCAGTGAGATCGAGATAACTGATGTTTGTGGAAATCTCAGGAAAGCTCTTGAACAATGAGCAATCATTAAGAAAAACTGCCCCGAGAGACTGCAAGTTGATGTTGATCGGAAGAAGT